GATAAATATTAATTTTATAACAATAAGGCAGTCGTTAACTTATTGTAGCAAGATTAAAATTTATTAATTTGTTTTAGTATTAAAACATGAGATTGATACATAGAAGAGCACTTCTATATATACAAAATTTGTCAATATATTTTAATTCTATCTACATTATAAAATTATAAAAAGATATATATAAAAGATAGAAAGATAAATAGAAAAAGATAGAAAAGGTAGAAAGTAAGGGTAGTAAAGATAAAAAAGGTGAATAATAAAGGTAGAAAAGATAGAAAAGGTAGATAATGAAGGTAAAAAAGGTAGAAAAGATAAATAATGAAGGTAGAAAAGGTAGAAAAGGTAAATAACAGGAGTAGAAAAGATAGTTAATAAAGATATAAAAGGTAAAAAAGGTAGATAAATAAGATAGAAAAGGTAGAAAATAAAAATAGAAAAAGTAAATAATAATAATTATTATACAATTATTAAATGATTGATATGTATATACTATTTTTATTGATTTGTTATTTGTTACTATTTTTGAAGATTTTCATATTTTTTACTATTTTTGAAAGATTCGTTAATTATAGAATTATTAAAAATAAATGTAATAATACTTGCATCTTTTCTAGAATATTAGAACAAAAGAACTAATTTTTGTATTTCAATGTCAGGATGATCATGATGAAAGTGACAAGATCGATAAGTTCTTTACAAGTCCCTCTGAAACAAAATCATCCAATCTATTTTTGCAAAAAATGAATAACTCAACCAAGAAATGGTGAAAATTAAGCAGTGAATGAAGTATTACCAATAAAGTGGATGATGAGAAAAACAAGGTATGGTTTCATATTGAAGCAAATTATTCAGTTATCACAACGTTTTGATCATTTATAGCAATTAAAGACTGAATAATTGCTAATTAATAATATTTTTTTTAGGTTGATGAAGCACATGGCTCTTCTATATCTGAAGAGGATGATAACGTGGATTATATACCTATACCTGCTGAGGAAGATTCAGATTATGTGTCAAGATATCATATAATAATTATTTTTCTTCAATTTTTTTTCTTAGGTTCTTAACTTTACTTTTATTCATATTATAAGTAATAATGAGGATCAGAATCCTTCACCATTGCTGATATTATCACAATTCAAGTATTTTGATAAGTCTTATGCAAAAATGAAAAAGACTCAAAAATGGATTTTATCAACTGGAATGTGTATCAAGAATGCTATCTTCGAGCATTGCAATAAATTATCAAATGAATCACTCCTACATTCATGGATCATTGATTTTAATGATCAGAAGACAGAGACACTATTTACAGTTACAGAATAGAAAGAAATACACTGTGAAATCAGAAGGTTACCAAAAATTAATGAAATCTTTGTTGAGTCATTGATGCGATTTGCCAATATAAATTGAAGATGTGATTATTTTTCAATTTGTCTAAATTAAAATTTATTTATAATATTGTCAACATCAGGTTAAAACAACAAGTGAGCTAAGACATATCCTAGAAATAATATCCTACCAAAATATGGATGAGCCTTATGACTGAGAGAAATACTATGATACTAAATGGATAGATATAGTAATGAGAAAATAGTAAGTATATTTTTTATTTGTAATATTACGTGAGCTTTAATAATAATATAACAAATTATAAAGATCCCAATAGAATACTACATAAGTCACATCTTGAATCTTGATATGACATTAATATGTGATTATTAATAATTGATTATAATCTTCAAAACTTAATTGGGATAGAGACTGTTAGATATATTCTTGCTATGATTATTCCTATATATTTTTAATTTTCTGCTTACTTTTTTTATAGAAAGGAGTCAACAAGTGAAGCAGTATCTGTAAAAAGAAACTGAAAAAGAATATGTACACATCACAAGAATATCAAATATAAGATAATGGAATCTCATATGGATAGAATATTCAGAATATATGTCAATAATATTGAATATGGTACAATTGAAGTAACTAAAGTATTTGATGAAATCAAATTGTTGACTGATGAATATAAATTGAGTAAAATCATGCACAATATGCTAATATATTTGAGTAAACAAGTCAATTTCGAAGAAACAAAAGTAAGAAAACTAAGAGTAGCTGATATACTTCACTTGGGTAAGTCAAATAAAGAATTTTGCATTATAGCAATTAATAAACTGAGTTAACTTGAATTATAATAGATCTTAAAATACAAGTGCTATATCTGAGTAGTTCTAAGGAATACATGTTAATATTAAAATGAGAGAAGCTCCTTGAGATGTCAGTTACAGTCAAAAAATACAAGATCTTATTAGGGTGCTGACAAGTATATGGATATTAAAGATGATTCTGTCTTTATTTTATTCTAAGTTTCATCATGAAATATTCTCTCATTACCTTATCTTTACGTACAAAAAGTAATTATGAATTGCGTAAATATAGTGAACTCACAAGCTCAAAATTCAATTGATTTTAGGTAAGAACTAGTTGTCATAGGTACAGAGACTTCATCACTCTCAATTGTTTTGCCATGATCTTGTGATACACTATAATTAAAGCAGATAAAAAGAGCATTATCAAAAAGTTTGATTTTGTGATGTTATTTAGTGAATTGATTTATTATACAATATTTATGCTATTCCACAAAATCAATAATGCTTATATATTGGTATTATAACTAGTTTAATAAAGTAATAAACTTTACCTAATTGTTTCTTATCATGTGGATCCTGACATGTTTTTGCATAGATAAAAATATAGGATAGGAATATTTAAAGAGAGAAATAAAGCATAAATACCTGCTGAATCCTAAGCCTTTTACATAGTAAAAATAGTAGTTTTTTCTCTATCCCACACTAGTTATTGTCATTATATACATTACTACTACTTCCTATACTACTAAAGTAAGTATCTTTCTTTTTTCGATCCAAGTTTTAATTTTATTCAGTGAAGTCCTTTGAGGAGATTTTTGATGTTGATAGAAGCTGGCAAATATAGTTCTTTTTCTCTCAAGTTCAGAAAAAGATAAATAGGTATCATTATATAGAGAATCAAAAAAAAACTTATTCTATTTAAGATCTGACTTTGAGCAGTAATTGCAAAAAGACAGAATAAGACATTATACATTTCGTGGGAGAACATCCATTTATCTTCCTTCTCTTATTAAATAAGGTAATAAATTTGATTCAGAGAGTTTCAGTTTCATCGAAATATTCAGATTTGTAACTTCTTGTAGATTCTTGTCTTTTAATTAGTAAAGCCAATACATTAGTGCTAAAAACACATTAATATGCTCTGTTATAATCATGTTGTTGAATAAATACCTTGAGATCAAATTTCACTTTTTTATTCTGTTTCAGTTCATATTCTATTAATTTTATTATTAAGTGCTAGAATTGCTTTTTTGATTTTTGTATAAAAGGATCATTCAGCATTATTATTTTGCATTGTTATGACCTAGAATTATCCTTAATTCCTTAATTTTGATTATGTGACTAAACATAGATTGTAGAGATAGCAGAGATAGCAGAGTTCTCAGTTATATCAACATTATTCATTATATCATATTTATCTGACATATATAACATATCCCACATTGTAATAACTTAGTCATAAATTATTTTATATAAATAAAGGATCTTTTGGATAAATCAAAAGGCATCAATTGATCAATACAAAATCTAGCTAGTCAATAAACTGCTTCTTGTTTATTGTTTAATGAAATTGTACATTAATTGATTTATAATTATTAATCTTGTTATAACACTTACTTTATACACTACTGGACACTTAACCAGATTGCTATAGAATATCAGTACTGTATTGCTATAGAACTGTCACCACAATAAGTAAATACAAAGGAGATATTTATTAGTAGTAGTGTTATCTATTCTAAATTAATAGAATAGAAGAAGATGCACAGCGTTACGATCCTAAAGCAACTGGATCAGGATATTGAATTATCGAAATAGACATTGGTTGAATATCCATGTCACGAGACTATCTATCTGAGTCCAGGACTCATGACAGCGTATATATAAAAATACTATAATGAGAATTATATATATTATCACATTGTTAGAGATAATTGTGTGAAGTATTTTCATAATTAAAATGCTTTAATTAAATAATTCATAGATTATGATTACAATAATGAAAATAATGAACAAAAAAATGTCAGATGAATTGAGTGACATGTTGTAGATCCAAAGGGTCATTGCTTTGCAATAGTAAATAAATTAATTATTTGATCAATTATTTGATTGTTATGCAAAGCATGAGCAAGACTCTAAATCACGTGATGATAATTTTGTTAAGGATAAACCTGCAAATTTAACCTTATATAACATATATTTTTATATCTGTAGCTCATAAAACTGTGTCTCAAATACTAGCTCTACTATATCTCATAATAAAGATGATTAATATATCTTAATTTCACAAAAAAGATGAATTAGCTCTTTTTCTTTCTAGTTCAGAAAAAAATAAATAATATATCAAAAAAAATTGATGCTGACATATCTCTCAAGATATATATAAAACCAATCATAATCTTTTTTTGAATATATGAGAAAAAAGGCACGAATTATATCTGATTCATTTTTTGTAACTATGATATTGATTTGATTTAAGTAATTAATTTGTAGTTTCATTAGCAGAGCAAGTACCACAGGTGCCATAAATTCGAATGCAAAACAACATTCATGTTGGTAAAATATTACAATTAATGAATTAACTATCAGTTAATGAATTTGGAATCGAAATTTAGCTCGTGATCAGCAATTCTGGATCAGCACTAATATGATTCATTTATAAAATTTGTAGACCTGAAGGATTATTGTTTTGCAATAGTACATGGAGTGTGAGAAATATATTCAATTACATAATATATGTATTATATTACTTATTTTTCAGCAGAAATTTTTTCAGATGATCATTCCCAAAGGTATGTTGATTAAATATATATATATTACTAATTAATAATTATTATTTAATATGCTCATCATATACATCACTCGCAAAATATGATGAATATACATAACTCATCTAATAATCCAATTTGTACTAAAAATAAATTTGGTTTTAATTATATATATTATACCAAATCTAATAAATAGGTCAAAAATATTAAAACTGCTAAATATATTATTCTTTATAAGTGATAAATATATCTGGTTTTGATATTACAACTAAGGATGCTTTCCTAAATTCTTTTGGAAAAATATCATCATAATTTTGATGGATTATACTATTGTATAATGAAATTTTACATTAATTATTAGTCAAAATTATCATTTGATTTTATTAAATAATTTTGAGAATACATGTTTATATTTAATTAGTTAAGATCTTTTTATTTATATTTTGTATTACATTATTATTTATATTATTATTTATATTATTATTTGTATCATATTTATATTATTATTT